AATCGCCTTCTCCGTCGCCGTCATGATGGATTCTTTGACATAGAATTTTGCATATATGCTACCCACAGGAATCTTGGATGTCACAGAACACTTGGTCAGTCTCTCGTATTTTAATAGACACGAGTAGAAAAGTCTTACCGATGTATCATATCGTCCACCCGCTTTAACCTTCTTATGATTGCCTGCAAAAAATCCAGCTGCGGCGGGGCTGTATCCGTAGAAGGCGATGTCATTCTTGCGCAATACGGGAAACAAATCGTTCTCTCCGCCTCGCACGAGCGGATTGTAATGGCCCTGGTACACACTGGGTTTGACGAGGCCGCGTTCCTGGCAGATGTCGACAAACCGCTGAACCTCTGCAGCGGAGTAGTTTGAGATACCCCATTTCTTGATCTTGCCTTCCCCAATCGCCTGATTCATGGCCTCACATGCTTCTTCGAATGGTGTCGTTCGGTCGGGCACGTGTAGATACTCAATGTTGATCTGCTTGATTTTCAGCGCTTTGAGAGATTCGTCAATCTCCTTCAAAATTTTGTCCTTAGTGTGACATCCCGGCGATCTGGACGTGACCTTGGTGTCGATGGTGAAGCGCTCGCCGGCATTGGCGGCGCCGAGTCTGGGCTCCGAGCTTGTGGGTGCCTGGGGTGAGTACATGCGCGAGGTATCAAGCTGCTTGTACCCGCGTCGAGCGAAGACGTCCAGGAATGCGTTCACTTGCTTGGGTGTGTCGTAGCGTGCCATGGGATCAGCAGATGAGTCTCCGACCTGTGAACATTAGCTTTGCCAAAAGCAACACACATCTCTCGCACTCGGTCGGTCAGCTTACGTTTGCGACGCCCAACACGAGGTTGACGGGCTGATTAGAGGCGGACGACATTCTGATCGTTGGAATCTGACGGCAAAGCGGGGAGAGGCTGGCAAATATGAGATGATACAATTTCTGTTAGTATTGACATATCACTAAGCAAGCAGGTAGAAAGTCTTGATGGAAAACATTCTGGCTTTTATGGTTTCAAGGTCCAAATACGTTGTCAGAATGATCAGATGCTTCGGACAATGCGCCAAGAGCTACTCCTACTTATTCGGGCAACTGCAACTATGAGCTCATTACTAAGACAGGCATCGATTCGTCAGCACGACAAAGCTTACACTATGGCCCTGCATCCGGGACAACCTACTTGGGCAATACGCTACCTTATGTGACGCTTTGACAACTGAATTTTCAGATGGTCGGAGTTTCACGCCGAGTCCGACGGACTTGACGCACTTGTTGCAAGTGATTAAGCTTGATCAGCTTGAAATCACGATAGTAGTAGAAGGTTTATCAGTTCAGGTAGCTTCAGCTCGTTTACGTTTCCAATTACGACCCTCTGCTAATAGGCTATAGCAGCAAGCTTCAAGAGGAAAGACTCAACAACGATATCACTTACATATGTAGACGGCGGCATTTTTGAAGAAGGGAAACTTCGGCTTTCCTGAGCGACTTTTCCTCTACGGCTTATCCCCGTTTCTCTGTTATTTGAGCCACTTCCGAGTTCAAGATGTGCAAGACAGCCCACCTCTGAACGGGACCTTAGAATAACTGTCACGTGTAACGCTTCAAGGAGAAGCCGCAACATGGGCTCGACCGCACCAATGGGGATGTTGTCTTGGGGCTTGTCAGATGAACGATCTGGTGCAGCATCAGATCTTCCGCGAGTCTATTTAGAAGCTCAAACAAGGGATCTTGGACATGTACATTGGCAATATATGGTGGGCCTTTAGCTGTCAGGAAATGCTTGGCCGTCAACCCTGACGCGTTTCTGCCAGGATGTGGGGAAGTTGAGCCTTTTCGAAAGTCCAATGGCAATTGTCGTTGGCCAAGGAGAATAGATGATGGCGCCGGCGAGCTGGGCGAACGTCGGCGTACACCCGGAAAGCCGACGGGGTCCCAATCTATGTTCACAAGATCTGGCGAGAAAGTACCACGCCTCGGCCTTTTTGTCTCGTCTGATCCCGACTTATATCTGTGACCTGTGATAGCCTTGTTTTTTATCATCAAGTTAGATTTTGGAAGGTCGTAATCCTGGACAAGACGACCAAGGGCCTTGGTCGGCTTATCCCAACCAATTCAGTCACCTATCGCAGGGCTATGCTTACACGCGCAAAGAAGTCTGACTGGCTTTTTAACTGCTTGGCTAAGGGTATAAGAGGGTATCATATTGAGAGTGTCCCCCCGATGCATCCATAAACCACTTCCGCATCCTTCAGCTCAAGTCAAACCATCCCTAGTAAACATGGTCAACTTCAGGAAGAAACTCTACAGTCTCTTCGAGCCGACTGCCGACAAAGGCGAAGACGGCCGTGATGTTTGAGAATCTCGAATACTTCTCATCATCGCCGCTATGGGAGGGGCAATCGGTCTCGGTAACCTCTTGCGATTCCCCTCGATCGTGTTCAACAATCACGCCCTCCAATCTTTCCATTCCCTAAGGTACCTTATTCCACTCCGCTATCTGGCCATACCAAGTTGCTTCCCGAGTTCAGCTTCAGGTGAGCGTACAGAGGAGGCTGCGCCCTTGCATGGCATCATGCCAACAAGCGTGCTAAGGGTGTCGGATTCGGCGTCGTCTATATCGGCTACGCGATTATTATCTTCTATGTTCCAATAATCGCCTGGATAATGACATACTTCCAGTACTCTTTCCGCAACCCACTCCGATGGGAAGGAATAATGAGTTCTTCGAAAGAAAGAATGCGGACCCCATCGCCTGAAACTTGACGGCAATTGGTAGCGCAGTCCAAGACTACACGGCTTATCGGCGTGCTCTTTTCCCCACCTTCTTCATTCTCGAGCTCAGATCAGCATTTGCACTCATGCAGACTTTGGTCTACAATTCAGAATGGGGCAATGAGTTCTCTCGGTCTTACGTGTCGTCCGTCGTAGCCATTGCCTCCTTCCACGTTTCTTTACCAAGTGTGTGCTACTACGCTCTACCGCTACCGCGACGTTGTTGATTCTTGTGGCCTTCTACCTTGGTGCTTGTACAACATCTTTGGCTACGCTGGAGGCACTATGGTGGGCTTCGTTATCGCCCATGCGATGTCTCCAAAGCCGGTGCAGGTGTTGGCTTTGGGGATGTTTATCGTCGGCATAACCTCTTCCGTGGTGTCTTCTTCCGACCCTCCAGGCTACACAGCTAAATCCTTTTTGAAGAAAATTCATTACAAAAGCTTTTGGTATCTGACATCCTACCCAGTGCGTACCCGTATTCGGTTATTCCCTCCAAAGCATTCCCTCCCTTTCTCACACACAATTCCAGGGTAATGAACTGCGCCGAGATCTGAATGCCATCATATCCATCGGAGGTTAGTGGAAGATCTCGGGTTTTTTGGGGATTTGTTCTCAAGTATAATACGGCGCCGATTGTGGCGATCATATTCTCTTTTCCCTAACATAACTTCTATGCCAAGAACCGAATGGATCCGCTGCACATTGCTGGGTTTGCCCTTAAGGCTCAAAGATTTGGCAGTCGAAGAAACCTGACGCATCAGAGATCTGAGAGATGCTCGTCCAAGGGAAAGATCACTGACAAGCGCCAGTAAGACCAGCATGTACATGTGCCTTTGGGTATTGAGTAAATACCTATTGACACAGGTGAACGAGCGAGTACAATTGAAAATCTGCGTCATATCCCGCGCGGGCACGAGCCACTGCATTCGTGCCTCTATAGGAAGGTGATGAGGACAATGAACGATTCGCGGGTTGGTAGTCCTTGGCATCAGCACCCTAGATGTGTCCACGTACTTCTGAAACGTAAGGAGGAGCGCCTTGAAAGACTAAGTCTCGGCTGGTGTGACTCTTGCTTTAGAGGGATTGGCCGCAGTGAGAATACGTGTTTTTCATTGAAGGGTGCTGCAATAGGGTAGAATCAAAGAGGTTGGTGGCCAGTCGATACGGGCTCTCCGCAATAGCACCCCTGCAAGCCAAGACCCCAATGCCGAAAAAGGATGGTGGTTTGTACACCGACGATTATGAACGAATGACGGACGTCCTGTCAGGAGGAGTTGATCGCCGGTGGTGTTACCGGCTCGTGACTTCAAAAGAGCTCGAGCGCGCTGGGCTGACCGTGGGACTCGCTTCTTCTCTCATCAAATTACTTTCAGTTTCTGTCCGTGATATCATCATAATACAACATTTTACCCATTTTTGATAGGCAAGGTTAAGAAGAACCACAATGAAGGTGATCAGCCAAGTAGCAACGCTCTTTTTCGTGTATGAATCTGTCAACCGTTGGCACAGAGACTTATTGCTAACATTGATAGCGCGGCACCGATTGTTGCCCAGACAAGCTCAGAGTCGTTTCTTTACTCGATCCTACCAACTGATTCATTGACTCCTCTGCCTACTCCGGTGCCGCTTCCTACCGTGGTGGAAGATGGGTGTCCCACGGCAACAGAGCTATCACTGTGTCCTAGTTGCACCGGGGAGGTACCGCAATGCGTGACCGTGTCGACTCTGACGCAGTCATGCGGCTGCCCCAGTGCAGCGGCAACAGAGACCTTCACATTTGGTTGCGACAAGAGTGCCTGCCCTAGGGTGGGCTGCAGCACCAGCTACACCATTGTCTCTGGCGAGGAGGCATGCACTGGTAGTGTAAGCGTGTCTGCCACAGCCGCGACGACCGACGTGGTTACGGTCACGACGACGAACCAAGCGACTACGGCCGCTACTGGCTCACAGGCCAGCACGGCATCAGGTGCTTCGGGCTCTTCGGCTTCTGCTAGTGCGACGCCGAATGCGGCTGGAAGACTGGCAATTCCATTCAAGTTTTGGTGATACGTACTCGACGATGGGCCAGTCTGGGATGAGATGTACCAAAAACGGCTGGGTCAACAAGTACCCACAGCCTCTGTGTAGAATGATATTAGTAGCTTGAAACCCCAATCGTTGTTTCTTGTTGCCCAATCTCTGCATGTCAAGTGTATATCCGCGTGCTTGGTAGTCATCTGGTTGGTACTCAAGTTGCAGTCCACGTCTCAGGCGTCCATGATTCCGGGCTGAAATCTGGCCAATAAAGTCCCTGAGCCCCATCATTGTAGATCGACGCATCTATAAACTGCAAGTCGAGGAGTGGCTGGGCTAGGAGCTCCTGTAACGACGGCTCGTTGAGCGCCATACCAGCGGTTGTGTTTTGCTCTGCGAAAGGTTGGTTGAGGTTGACTGCAGCATCCGTGAAAGCCGCTGTTGTGTCGTTCAGCAAAGCCGCCGAGTCTCCCGCCCCGGCGAAATCACCACGGCGCACGTGAGCTGCGGCCATTGTAAGCTTCATAGCGTCGATATGATGGCAGAACTCCTCAGCTGCATAGTTGCCATTATCTTTCAGCTGAGACAAGAACTGAGCTGCTTCTTCAAATTGTTCTCTGTCATTGTGACTCTCTTTGCCGCTCAGAAGGCTAGATGCAGCGAGGATGGTGGCGGCTGAGAAGAGATACTGCGTGTAGAAGTAGTCAAACGTTGCAAAAGACCCGTCGATCCAGCATTCTGTCAGCAGTCGGCAGGTGTGACGAGCGCAACGTATGCAAGTTTCTGCGAGAGTCATGGCGGTGGCCGGAACTCGTGGTTCTGGGGTCTCTGGTGTTCCCCAAGATGCGACATGCGTTCGCAGCACATGGAGCAGAATCGGACGGGTGGTGCTGATAGCGCACTTGAATCAAAATTAGCTTTGTCACACCCCGTCTGGCAGTCGCGCTTCATTGCTTGCCTGATTAAAGTTGAGATGTAGCGAGATGGGCTTTGGCATGCGTTCCGATGTAGGCTTCGAGTCAATGTGAAGCTGTGGAGGGAGCTCTGCAGACCACCCACGAAGATCCTTCAACGCCTCTTGAACTCTATGGGATAAGGAGGTGTCTTGCAGCCTTCTTCGATAGATGGATGGCACAACCTTTCCCAGTAGGCCAGCGAGCTTTACACTAGCAACAAAATATGATGCATCGGCAAAGTCATCCGCTATATTATCGTCGACAACCGGATTCGATGGCAGGTCCACCTCGATATCGATGTCTTGGACGGCTACTGGGTGGCTTAACTTGGCTGCCCACATCCTGTCGAAGATGTATGCTGTCCACCAAACTCTGACCCTATGCTCTCGAGCGGCTGCATCTCTGAGCTGCGTCTCGGGAACATTGAGATGAAGGCCCATGACAACAGCGAGCCTGGTCGCGGAGCCGGCAAAAGTGTAGGCGGTATGTCGCCGGTTGAGCGCAAGAGAGTAGAAAGACTGTCAAAACTTCAGAGGCGATCGAAAACATTTATTTATCAAAGCCATCTTACCAGCAACAATCTCAACTCGACAACATCGATCCTCGGTCGTTCGCTGACGATGCGGAGGATGCGAGTTGCCCGTGCAAAGTAGCCCATGCCGGGGAAGTGCTTTTCCGACGTGGCAGATCGAGTCGAGTACATGGCGCCGATAGCAAACATCGCCCAAAGCTTACTCTTGAGAAGCGAATCACTTTCAGCCGGGTTCTGGAGGGTCTGTTCCAAGGCATCCAGAATCGAGCTCTTGCGAATGATGTGGTAGCAACGGCTGACATATCTCAGGGCAACCCCGACGAGAAAACGTGCTCTTGCCGGACTAGGCCAAGGGCAGTCTGTATCAGATAGAGCGAGCAGCCTCTCATCTGTGGCATAGTTCACCCGCGGGATGTGACTACTCTCAGCTGATGAGATTGCTTGGCGGAAGCGGGTAGCGAATGCGGCGTCCGAGGCCTCACCGATGAGAATCGGCGTGTGTGGAATATTCATGTCGAAGAACCATGGTCGTTCATCAAGCGATGGCGCTGGGATGGCAGTTGCATTAGTATCTGTTGTCTCTTTTACCGGGGCAACGACTGCGAGATCTGGGAGCAGGTTGGCTGCTCGAGATTGACTTCCAATGCCGCTGTTGCTCTTCAATCGTTGGTTTTCAGCAATAAGGTCATCGATATAACTATGGGAAACCGAGTTAGTTCGATACACCAGTCGCTCTTGGAATCGCGGGTCCGAGGTATGAATATCTCTGGTTCTAACATACCGCTGGCTAACTTTTACCATGCGGTTCCGCCGAGGATATGTGCATTCCACACCCTTGCTTGCTTGGCGACAATTCTCACATGGTTGCCCGCCGGAACACCTCACTTTGCGCGAGTGACACCTACGGCAACTATTATGGCGGAATCGCCGTTGTTAACCATCTGGAAACCTTCCGCAGCTTTGCGGCGCGACAAGTTGTAATACTCACGCGGTAGGTTTGGTCTTTGGTCGGGAGGAAGCCGATGAGGATACCGGAGCGGATCTCAAATCGACCCTATCCTCCGCACTGGACGCGTCGCCTTCCGATGTCATGGTGGTCAATCGATATGGCTGATTAGGATATTGCCCTCGTGAGGTCCGATTGAATGCTTTCGGGAAACGTGTAGGGATACCGAGAGTCTCAAGGGATATTTGAAGATACCCCTTCACCTTTCAAAGTTGCTGCGGCTTGTGACGTATTCCTAGAATACTACCGCTGCGTGATACCTAGTCATCAGCACTAGTTTGGTAAAGGTTTCTTTGTTGTCACAGCTAGACGTTTGGGGGAGAAAGCTTTAGCCCAGCCGAGATAGTTCGGCATAAATCGCGCAATGTGCCGATAAAATACTGTGATTTCTCCACATTATCGGCGTAATGTGGATTTGGCCGAGCTTTATGTCACGATCTTTACCCCACAAACAGTCCAGGGGCTTAACCATCTCTAGTCGGCTTCATGTCATATTGCCGACTCCTCAGACCAAGCAACCAACCACTGGCGCCCTATTTCACTCGCATTTCCGTCACAAGTCCGGGCTGGTCTTGATCACGTCGCCTATGCGTGCATCACGTCGCCCTACGAGGCCCACTTTATGAAATATTTGAGTCAGAGAAGGTGTAGTGAAAAAATGGAAGAAAATTCGCCTGCCGAAGGCGTGTCCGACCGGCGGAGAGCTGCAGGAGTTCCCGACTATATACATTCGGAGGACTCCCCGAGGCAGTATTCATCCTCTGACGATACTTTAGCTTAGATATCAGCTTACTTTCCAGTCTTTAATGTGATTTCCTCGCAATGGGTTCCCCAGATGTCGAAAAGCCGGACGGCTTGACCGCCGCTGTCAAGATCCCTCAACTAAGCCCCGATCCGCTTACCGGCCCCATTCCGGCGGCGGCAGCCCCTCTTCGACCCGTGGCTGCAGCAGATGACGAGGTGATGGAGATGCCAACATGGAAGAAATGGGTAACGCTTGCGGTGGTTTGCTGGATGGCCCTGCCCGTCACCTTCTCTGGTAGCTCCATCTTGACAGCGACTTCCGAGGTTGCTGCCGACTTCAACGTCTCAACGCATGCCATTACCACAGCTAATGCTGGCGTCTTCATTGCCATGGCTATGTCTGCCTTGATATGGCTACCGACGAGTAATATCCTTGGTCGCAGAACGACTTATCTCGTAGCCAACTGCCTCTTGACCTTGTGTTCGATAGGATCGGCGCTCTCAAATAGCTTTGCCTGCTTCACAGCGATTTGGGTCATCGGAGGAACAACTGGTCCATTCTTCCTAGTTGCAGGGCAAACCATCTTGGCAGATATCTTTGAGCCTGTAAGTCGGATATTGTGCCACTTATGTTTATCATATTGAGCCTGACTACTGTTTAGACAACTCGCGGAACTGCAGTGGGTTGTTTCTTGGGCAGCTGTGTGGCGGCAAACGCAATTGGTACGTTGTTTGACTACCTTACTCCATCATTGTGCCCAAGAGTCTTTCGACTGACGAGCTTTCAGCGCCGTTGACGGGAGCCGTCATCGTGACCTTCACCAGTTGGCGAGTCATCTATGGGGTCCAGGCTGGCATGACCTTTCTCGGTCTCATCATGGCCTTCTTCTTCGTGCCAAAAGCGAGCCAGCTGGCGCATCTCAAGATCGCCGTCGCAGAGAGAACTCCTATTCGGTCTTTGGGCGACTTGGCCCACGCGTTCAATCCGATGGGCGTTCTCCGCCAGTTCAAGTATCCCAACATCGTTGCGGCGGTGAGTTGCTCTTCCCCCAACCCGACTCTAGCTCGTAATCTGATCCATCTCGCAGAATTTCGCCTGTGGACTCCTGGGATTCAACCAGTACGGCCTTTTGAGTTCCATACGACGAGTCATCAACCCTCGGTTCGGCCTGACTACGCCTCTTATCAGTGGACTTTTCTATCTTGCCCCCGGAGCGGGCTTTCTAATGGGAAGCACGATCGGCGGCAGAGTCTCAGACCACACCGTTAAGCGATATATCCGGAAGCGTAATGGTCTCCGTTTGCCCCAGGATAGACTCAAGAGCAGCTTGCCAGCAATTTTCTTCGTTCTCCCTGCCGGTACTCTGATTTACGGGTGGAGCGTGCAAAAGGAAGTCGGCGGAATCGCTTTGCCCATCGTCAGCTGCTTCTTTGAGGGTCTCGGCCTCATGTGGTCTTTTAGCGGTCTGAACACATACTCCGCCGGTGAGCCTTCCCTGCCATCTTGTTGCGTCTTCGACGGTTCGACCTGGACTAATACATTGCATCAGAGGCAATGCCGGAACGCAGGACAGCTGTCATCAGTAGTAAATACATCGTTCAGTACAGTTTCGGAGCTGGCAGCGTGGGCGGTTTGGTGCCAATGATCGACGCCATTGGGGTCGGCTGGTCTTTTACCATCAGTGAGTCTTTTGAGATGACTCTTATTCTTTTGCTCGCATATTGACCTCACCTAAGCCGCAACCTCTGCACTCCTCGCCGGCGTTTTGGTCCTGGGTATTTCCAAATTTGCATCGAGGGCTCAAAATTGGGTGGAGAAAAGCAACAGTGACGATTCAGAATAGTGCCAAGAGTGCACTCAAGATTTACAGACTCAAGAGCTATCTATATGCATAGCATGCGGTGTTTGTTGGCGCATGATTTGTTCTATGGTTTTTTGTCAGCCCAGCCTGATCTGGGGCGTCTCTCGTCCCCGTGTCAATCTCATCATATACCTCGTTCGGAAAGTTGACGACCAGGCTCTACTCCAGGACGAATGATATTGCCAATGCTTGGGAGCCAAGCCGGCTTGGCCGGGTTGATCAATCGTGATTTCGGAGACCAACACGACGTCTCAGAATCCATGGATGCCTAGCCACCCCTTGCGCCCGCTGCCTTATGAGCTGCATGCATCCTTCAAAGCTCACTGGTCGATATTTCGAATAGCCAATGAGTTGAAATGAAGGCCCCGATACAGTTACACAGCGGTCACATTGAGGCACTGCCACCTAAGCAGTCCTACGGCTCGGTCTGACGAGCTCACCACGAGACCAGGGACCTTCCGTGTTGCTTACTTTTGTCCAACTTCCAAGCTCCTTCAGGGCATTTGCAGTCAACGTTGAACCGCCATTCTCCCTCCTTGGAAGCTTCAGTCTCTCTACCATTTCCAGATCAATACTCCTAACCAGTCCAAAAATTGCAGAATGGAGAACATTTCTACAGCGGTAGCAACCGTGGGGAAACTGAAACCTGAGATTCGTCTGGCTCAAACCATTTCAGAATTCAGCGTTTCTCTCAAGCGCCGTCGAGATGACTCTCACATCCGCTTCAAGAACTTGCAGACAAGAAGTCCACCAACCGCCATGGAGGTTTTGCAATTAACAGAAGAGATCAATCGAGATGGGGCTCACCGTCACCGGTCTTGGAGGCCCAACGCCACCCGTCTCGTCACTGTTCTGGAGAGAATTTGTCAATTTGCCCCTATTGGCGACGTCCTTGTTGGAGGCGCCCAAAACCTCTTGGCGTCTGGGGTTTGGGCCACGGTCAGGATGACTCTGGAGGTATGTTCGTCAAGCCTTTTTCTGAACTAAGTCGTTGCAAGTTGTCATTCCGATACTTAGGATAGCTGACGAGAGCTATAGATATCACTGAGCTTCCTGTCATATTTCGACAAAGTTTCAACTCTTCTGATGAGGATTGGTAAATCGTCTTCTCTCCACAAGGATTTCGCCTTGCTGTTTCCCACCTGTCGCCAGACTCAGGCGTACATGTGCGAGTATGTCATTGTTTTCATCAAAATATGCAAAAAGATCACCATCGACGCCCATAAATCATTTGCGTCTCACCTCGCAACGTCTTTCACTTCCACCTTCGACTCGGTCTTCAAACCACTGGAAGACGACTTGCGATCATGGGGTCAGTTGATTGAAAATCGCGTAGCAGTACTCGTTGCAAAGGCCAATGTTGAAAGCAACTTGTCTTCTATTGAGAGATTCAGCCGATTCCAGGTTATGATTTCCCGCGATGCCGCTCATCGGGACCGAGAAACGCGTGCGCATCGACTTTTTGAAGCCTTGGCTCCCAATCAGAAGGAGTTCGAGTCCATTTGGACGAGGGAGCGAAAGAAGGGGACCTCTAGTTGGATCCTAAACGACAAGAGCTACCAAGAGTGGCTGGGCACAAAGACTTCAGCAACGTTGTGGCTGCAGGGTAATTTGGGGTCTGGAAAGACTGTCACCATGGCCTCCGTGGTGGCAGATTGTTTGATCGCACATAAAAATCCTGCTGAGAGTCAGTCAGCCACTTTCCTTGTCTTTTACATCTCACGGTCCTTTCACATGGTTTGGTCCGATTGAGCTGTCAATATCTTATTCTCGAAGAAGCTGACCAGCCACAAAGATCTAGCTACGACAGATCCAGGGAGACTCCAATCTGTAGCATTCTTCTTTTGCAAAAACAGCAATCAAACAACCTTGCAAGACCACAATATCCTCGGCAGCATTGTACATCAAGTTTTGAGAAATTCGTCTCTGGCCCGATTCCTGGACAACTTTTTAGACGAACACGAAATGAAGCATCAAGTATTCCATGCCGAGTTTTGTATTGACCTCTTGCTCTCCATAACACCACCAGTCTGGCAATGTGTACTGGTCCTGGATGGCTTGGACGAAGCTCCTCTGGAAGAGGTGGAATCAGTTCTCGGTCAGCTTCATCGACTTATGCAATTCAGACGAGTCAAACTGTGTTGCTCTTCCCGACCCACATCTGGATGCAAATCCGTTGCAGCATCGTCAATTGGTATCACCAAAACTATTTCTTTCGAAAGTGTCGACAGATCCTTAGACCTGGAAAGTTACATATCGGCCGAGGTCGAAAACTGGAAGCTCATCAGGCCAATATCAAGCAGGCTTGAACAGCTAGTCAAGGAACAGCTACTAGTACGTTCTCAGGGCATGTTTCTGTGGCTCTCACTGCAAATTGAGGCCATTTGCCCCAAGTACACTCGAGAACTTCGTTCTGAGTCTGAAATTCTCGACATCATCAACAATCTTCCCCGAAATCTTCCACAGGCGTTTGATCAAGCAATTTTAAGAATCCCGGACATGAAGTACGGATCGCGAGTTTTCCAGCTTATCGCGTCAGCAGACCCATGTCTTTCACTGGATGAGCTTCGTGTGGCTCTGAACGTCCAACCCGGATCCTCGATCTGGAGTTCTTCAACTCTGCATCCCTCCGGATTCACTTTGGCCTCGATATATGGTGGCAGTCTATTGGAGATTGACGAGGAGGACTCATGTATCAGGTTCATTCATCACAGTGTCCTGTTACACCTCGTTCAAGCCCCGGCGTTGCCTGCAGCTTCTCCTTACCACTTTCATCTGCATCAAGCAGAGTTTGAACTCGGTGCCATCTGTGTCACTTATCTCAACTATGGGGTATTCGAGAATAGCATGTCACATGCCCAGAATGTTTCGTTTGACAAGATTCCTGGTACTGTGGCAAACTCGATCTTAAGTCCAAATGCCCTGACAAGAAGACTCATTTCCCTTATGTCCCTCGACAGGCGAGCTAGAGCTTCCAACGTAGATCTAGAGCGATTGAACTATGACCTACACCAGTATCGATCAGAAATCCAAGACGACATCCATCTGTTCCTCCCTTATGCCAGCAAACACTGGCTCAGACTTACCAAGTGTTTCTCCGAGGCTATCGACCCATTGATTTATTCACTCTGGGAGAATTTGGTGTCCGGTTCTGTATCGTCCGCATCATCCAGCCTCCCTTGGTCTCCAGGCTCCGTGGCCGGTGCAACGAAATGGTCCCTCTACAACCGTCACGGACCATTGTTCCGACATCTATTGGGTAGCTCCGACGCCGTCGTCGTCAAGGAAGTCCTTCGGATTACACTCACAGTGATCAAACAGTATAAAGTGGACCTGGAAACATCAACAGCGGAGGCCTACCCCATTATCTCAAGACTAAATGAACTACACCACCACTATCTACGCCACGAGTTCTTCCTATCGGGAGAAGACGCTGGGCTCCTGGTCCCCACGTACCTACTACATATGGGTCTCGATGTACCAGTGCTCAATTCTTTAGTCGAAATGGAATGCCTGCCTTTTGGCACCGGCGATAAATATTGCCAGTTCAAAGACCCAGTTGCCGTCGAAATGGCTCTCGGTACCATCGCCCGACATGGGATACCAAGAGTTCTACTTTTCCTTCAACAAGAAAGTCAAGAGGAAGCGGAAAGGTACAGATGCATCAAATCTGCGCTACTTCTTGCGCACTATCTTCCCAGCATTGATACTACCCTTAGCAATGGTTCCACCATTTTACATACCGCTATCAAGCATGGATTTGAGGACCTTGCAGAAACACTGCTCAAAGACCGAGGAGCAGATCCAGACGGCGCCCGTCTCCAGGGCATCTCCAGCCCCTTGCAGCTGTGTCTTCAAAAGAAGTTCAGGCACCTAGCTGTAATACTGACCCAAATGGGGGCTGACATCATCGCGACGCCAGACAACGGCCTTCCTCCATTCTTTTTAGCCATGGGTTTACGTGATTTGCGGCTTTTTGATGCAATGTGGCACGGAAATCCCCATCGATCATCGCGCCAATACGGTCCAAAGAAAGAAACAGCGTTCCAATTTGCGTGCAGGGTCTACTGCGATCCGATTAGCAAAGACTATCCAGACATCTCAGATGCTCTCGATAACATCCTCGCCAAGGACCCCGACGTGAACCGTCCCAACGGTGACGGTGAAACCCCGCTGATGATCACTGCCATGACGGGCAATCTTGAGTTGATGGTACGACTCTTAGACCAAGGGGCGGATCCAACACTTGCGGGTGTTAATGAGGCAACGCCTCTTCATCTGGCAGTGGGGGATACAGTTGCAAAGCTGCTTGAGGTTGGTGTTGACCCGAACAAGGTGACACCTGATGGCGTATCACCGCTCATGGTGGCCTCACTCCTAGGCGACATTGCTGCTGTCAAGATCCTCATTCACGGTGGTGCGCTGCGTTTCCAGGCTGTCGCTGGTGCGGGGCCTCTGTCAGAGGGTGGAAAGGCACTCTTCAGAATGTCAAAGAGATGCCCGAGATTCTACGACGCGGAAAGCTCTACTCGCAATGCAACAGTAGACAAGATCGAGGCAGGTGATACAGCCCTCTCACTCGCCATAGCTCGGCTGGAGTTTATGACTGGCGATAAGGAGCAAATCAGTCGTCTACGTCAGATTGTGAAGGACACTGTCAATAAGGATGACCAGAAAAAAGTCAGGGCAAAGGTCACGCATATCACGGAACGATGGGATGACTTCGAGACGATTGTGCTTGAATTGCTCTCACGGAAGCATGGCGCAGTGCTTTGGCCAGAGAGGGAAGCTATCACGCGCCGGTACCGACACACACATTGCTGGCAAACAATCTTAGTCGCGACCCGTTGAGTGGGTGAAGCTAGAATCAAAGAGCGTGGAATTGAAGATTTGGAAGGAACTCTTTTGGATGAAAGCCGGCTAGCCATCTTCGTAATTACTCAAATCGAATCTGAGTACCATATTCGAAGCGTCAGCGAAGGCAGCAACGACTGGTAAACCACGATTCCTTCACCAATTTTTCGCTGCCGCCATAAGCGGTCTGATCGCAGCTAGAGATGCGAATCTAGCAATCCCATATCGCCGTATATAGTTCATGTTCAGATCATGACTTCTGTCCTGATGAAAGCTCATGTTGCACCTTTTGATACAGCTGTTTTGATTCAAGTCAACATTTGTAGACGTACTTGTATCATGAGCCGAACCGCGCCAGAAGGACATTAAGACTTACAAGTCCCAATGGACAAAACCGCCCTGAGAATAATCTTGCCTGCAAAGCTCCATACAGAGAGCATAGAGGTTTGTTTCCGTCGGAGCAAATTCATCATCATCGTCGTTTCGTGAAGCCAGATCTTCTGTGACAGAATCTTTCTGAATTTGATACATGACGCTTTTCCGTGAAGTGTCAGATACTGAAGTAATTTGTGTTCGATGTTTGGTCTGATTTTACCTTGCAGGGGCTACCCAATCATTCCCCTTGGCTCCATCGTATTTCAGGCTATCCTCGACAAGAACTGAGCGTTTCTCGGGAGGACTTGTCATCGGCTGTGAAACACCTCTAAAGGTGTCATCGATCTCGCCAGAGTTCTTTACAAGCACAGCACAGAAAGAAAAGGCGGCCCAGGAAGCTAGCACGAGGAGGTGGGAAAGTGATAATGCCCTCATTTTGACGGAGTAGCCAAGGTCTTTGAGGAGGATTGGAATGGTGATCAAGAGCCGAGAATATCGTTGGCTTGAATAGGAGCCTAGCCCACATTTTACTTCGCGGGAACTGAGCAGATTTAAATACTAGAAGAGAGTTCTATCTGCATTTTAGGTAGTGATCTACCTTGCCGCAACATTTGTCACTACTAGGTATTGAGATAGCAACGGTGACATCGAAGACAACCACGGCCTTGACAGGAGTCAAGATCACAAGAAAAGCAAACATTGATTGAAGTTTGAGGACGTGACCACGGCTTGCTTCACTGCTAAACGGGACCTGTTGTCAACGTTGGCATTCCAAGATCACAGCTTGGTGCTTAAGCTTCAGAGTTTGGTGGCACATTGATTGCTTTCTTGACCCGTTGTCTGGAAGGTATGGTGCATCGTTCGCCGAGCTATCTGGGAACGCCACAAAACGATAACATTGCGAATGTAACACAAGTCAGAATCCCACACTCATGTGATGAGATACTGTCTTTCAGAGAGGTGATACCAAGAGGTAAGGGTACATGTAGGGGTAATGCTATGGGAACAATGGTTCGTAATACAAACAGCGTGAACATAAGCAAAGGGGGACATGTGTTGTTGTGTTACTGCGCAATCTGTACACCTGTTCCAGGCTTTGGTATTCGACAGATCAGCGAAGTTTGCGTTTGCTACCTGCTTCATAGCGAGAAATGAATGGCAGTCAATTCAATCTTCAATACAAAAGATCGACAGCTAAGTAATGAACAGTCGAACACGAAGACTATCATTGCTCGTTTGCAATTGATGAGCCGAAAATTGCTCATCGCTTCCATGGCAGCTCGTAATGCTACGAGGATCGTTTTCCTGGATGCACGTGTCCAGCGCTTATTTATAAGTACTTCGTGTGCTTGCCATGAAGAAATCGTTGCCCCAAAGACTCATTCACCAACGAGTCCTAAAACGAAACAGACACTTTCTCCAGTCCTTAGCAAAATGCGTCCTACTCACATTCTCCCTCTAACTCTTCTCGCTGGACCCTCCTTGGTTCTTGGGGAATGTTTCAAATCAGGACCACGAACAGGTTACGCCAATGACAACAACGTTCTCGATCTCAGCGCCGTCTGTAGCTTGCTTACAGGTCTCTACAACAAGGGCGAATTCCGACGGATTTGCGTGCATGACAAGAATGGCATCAAGTGGGACTTTGAGCTGAAGGTATCAATTTTGAATTTCGCAGCCATTTCTACTTGTCTCTGACTCTTTGCAGTATTTTGGTAGTGGTGCAACTCGTACTATTCATGGACCTGAATGCGTGAATGGCTTTTCAAAGGAAGCAAAGTGTGCCCAAGGAGGAAAAACGGCGTACGGCAATTGGGAGTACATGTAAGCTTTCATACTTGCTATACTTGCTATAAAACTTGGATCAATCAGTAAGCTGACACGAAATTTCACAGAGCTGATCCCAATAACGGACGCTGCTTTCGCAGCCCAGTGTAACCCAGGTCTTTGGCTGGTTAGAGGAAGTCTAAGGTCATTTTGTATTGTTGTGCGGAGTCCTCTTCACCTCCCAAAGATGTTGCATTGGTTTTTCGTGTAGCTATCTGTCCAATGCTGTCCAAATTGATCTAGTGATTACTATCACGCTACTCTAGCTTTCAGCCTCAACTGGGGTTTGTATAGGGAACTGCATGGCATCTAGCCACTGGCGGTACCACTTGTGCAATGTGCATGGATGCCTTGAAGATCAAATAGCTCTATTCGCAAAGACACTCGCAATTGGGACTCGTGCAAGTCCAGCCTTGTTTCCCTTGACGCTGGCACTAACATCACCCAGATATATCAGTAAGTACTCAGCAACTCTATGTGGCATTGTGGGTTGCAATACCTCGGCTTCGCATCCGCCATCGAAGCCTCCGCACCATGTCATAAAATCGCACCCGTAGCGTAAGTTGTACTCGAAATCGGACATGGATCCTTGCGTAGGGGGCCAGGTGAAAGGGGAGGCAGAGGTAGCACTGGTGGCAGTGGTGGCACAGGTCATAGCCACAACCAAGAAAGAGAAACTGTATAGCATTTTTGTCTTCGGATCCAAATTTGTGGGCAGAAATACCTCATGTGAAACTGTAAGGGATAGAATGAAAATTCCCAACCTGCGTAGTCTAGGAAAACCTGGGAGATGTCATTCATACACTAGAGCTGTTTTATAGTCACTTAGTCATCGTATTTAGTTACGAATGGAGATTCCGTGAAGTTGTTGCCGGTGATTTATGAGTCCGCAAAGTGGGACTTGTTGGCAAAGCATAGAGGCGGTGCCGTACGGATGCCTGAAATATCCACACCTATTGCGCTCTATGTTGCGACCGCCATTAGTCGTGTGTGGAAGTGGAAAAAGTCCAATGGCCCTCACAGCTACTTATGCACGATGATGATTCGATCATAAGGGTCAACACTACTTTTCATCTCATATGCTAGGTGGAGCGGGATGAGGGAATTATATCCGGTAGCTCTCCTTACAAGTTTTGATAACAGCCGTTCTGACGCACTTGGCATGCTCTCGATCATATCATATCTGGTTTGAGTCGGTAGAAGCTATAGCGAACGAGTGCTTTGATCCTTAAGGCTGCTGCGTATTACATGGTTGGCCTGTGGTAGTTGACCGAGAACGAGGTTGAGGTGGGTGCCGAGAATAGAGTTCATTAGCTTGTGGGTGTAATAGAGAAGCTTAACTCTACCGATGAGCGAATCAGAAATATGTACCAGTACTCCGATGAGGCCGCGAACTGCCTCAATAGTAGAAAGAGGCAGTATTCTTCATTGAGGTATTGGTGGCGCCAACAACTAAGTAAGGCGTCTCTCAGGTGCATCGATGGCGCACGCGCCACCACTTTTGCCCAAGAGAGGCGCATCCATTATCGCAATGAGGAGCAGAGGTTGCTCAGCGGGACACGGTTCGTTCAAATATCTCAGAAGCAGCACTCAATATCAAAGGGAAAAGAAGTACTAGAGCATGCATGCCGCATTCTCTGGAGGATCCGATAACAAAAGTTCCTTGACTCTGTAGGGAGTGCGAAGACGTACACAGTAGGCCGCGGCTCAAGCTAATGCGACTTGATTGAATTATGTCAGCACTCTTTATTTCTGATGGCTCAATAAGAAATGCTCCTCGGTCCGGGGGTGTCGACCGGGGTCTCGCTTGGGGGGGGGGGGGGCTCCTGAGTAAAAAGCGAAAAGTCGGGATGAAATCCACACTTAATCGCCGTTTGAGTGGGGATCCGGCGCCGAAGACACGGAGGACCCTGCGGGATAAAGCCGGATTGCGCTAAACTTGGCAAATTGAAGTCGGAGATGCAAAACAGGGGGCCTATGCTCGAAATTCACAGTGACGCCTTGGAGTTTGCCTTGTGGCAGCCAGGATGAGCCGGTCCGATGGCTGGGTTTGGCAGGCTGACAGCAGTCGATCAGGGAGGTTCAGATGACTGGTGGTTCATGAGTTACTTGAAGCGGCGATATGATGAAGCGAAGTGCCGTGTCTGGGTATGAGCGATGAGGTGAGAATGCGAATGAGTCTGAGAATGAAAGCTGTCTTGGTGACCTGGAATACCAAAGGAAGTAACGGTCCGAGACTGAGTCGATTCGGCAATGGCAACGATCCGCGGAGAATTTCATGTGGGAGGGAAGGAAGGGTCGCTTGCATTTCTGGACCTGCCGTCACTGGTCAAACTGTTTCAGGAGGCAGGAGCGCCAGTGACGTAGAGGCGGGGGAGTTTGCTGAGGAAGGCGCACCTCAGAGGCTCAGTCCGGCTCCTGCAAAAAAGAAAACAAGTGACTGCCCATGCTGTGGTTGCCAGTTGGTAAGGAAGCAGCGTGGGATAAGCATAGAAAAGGCGGGGCAGATTAGGTAATTGCTGCTCACCGACGCCTCCTCGTCGCACCTCAGGTGTCACTGGAGGCAACAGGCCATGAAAGAGAGGTGGTCACAAATGACAGATGGAAGAATTTGGAAAGAAAGAACGGCAGACTTTCCGCCCGCAAGGTCTCCACAAATGTCACCGTCACCGTCTGAGTCTCTCCTCATTTTCTCCCAGGCTTTTCTCTTGGGGCTCTTGGAGTCGTACCTAGTCGTTAACGTGGACGTGGACTGCTTCCATATCCACCTAGCAAAGGAAGATTCCTTCTCCCCCTCAATCCGCATTTACGGATACTCGACTCTTCCCTGTCGACGACCCCTTGTTTTTCTTCCTTCTGCCCCCCTTCTATTCTGCCCTGCAGGAAGTCCCCACTCCTTCGTCCTGGTCTTCCCGAAAACTCCCATCTGCGTCTCAGCGTCTCAGCGTCTCAGCGTCTCTTCTCGCCTGCCGCCGCCGCCGCTGCTCGCATTCTCGTCATCTCAAGGAACAAGCCCGGACCTTTTTTTCTTGTCCCTCTCGCATCCAGTTCGCTTCGCTGCCTCATCTCCCGACGAATCATCGTAGCCTAGATCGAAATCAGAGACCAGCGACACCGAGCGATACCAACACCAGCGACAGACAAGCCCAGCTTGTTCCCAGTCACCGACGAAGCGAGGACCACCCAACTGCGTTCCCCCCTCTTCCCCTCGTCACTCGGTCGGTCGGTCACCGCATGCACCTCGTCCCGAGAGTGGAATTAAGGAATTCGCACCCATGTCATGGTGATGCCACATATTGCGACCTATCCATGTCCAATTCTTCCAGCCCGCCAGCCACGACTCTCTCCAAGACTTCATCCTATTATTCGCTGATCTGACTTGCGAGCGACCTCACGCTACCGCTCGCTGCTCTGCGGATCGGATACCTACCTGCACACGCTACACACCCATCCCGCCTGGCCTGCTTCATCATCTCCTGTGTGGCCGTACGGACCCCGGATAATTACTGGACCACCACTACTGCAGACCTACCCAACGCGACGTTGCACACACCGCAAACGCTGTCACGGACAACACACCACCAACCGCCGATAAATCACAAACCCACTACATCACTCGTGTCACCGAAATTTGGCAGCAGCTCTGCTATCTACGACCGCCGATCGACGACTTTTGACCTTCTTCACCGACTCGCGACAAATACCTACTCCTTGCCAACTCGACTCGCGCCCAAAGTCCGTCTTGGGCCCTTATCATCTCGACACCCGCCTCCGATCACAGCCACGCTAGAGAGTGGTGAGACACGACATTCGATATCCACGACTGCGTTCGTTGCGTCTCGATTCTTAGCTGCCGTCTATCGACTCGAAGCCAATAGCCTGACGGTCGACAAAACCTCCTCGATCACCACGACCCATCCCAAGCACCCCTAAAGCATGACACGATGGATCCCCCCGACCCCTTGCCGCTCCGAATAACGAGGAGCGCCTCCTCCTCCTCGTCACTTCATTTCAAGCCGCGCGACCGAAAGCTTCACCTTCTAGTGGCCGCTAATGGGCCCCGCGACATATCATGGGCACAGGCTCTCGTCGTCCGTCTCTCCAAGAGTTCGGCCATTGAGATGCGCGCCATCGTCGACGACGCCGTGCCCCGCTTAAGCCAGACTGTCATCACTATGCAGAACCGATCCATGACACTGCCGCTAGGTCCGTCGCGTGCCGGCTCCGAAGCAGACGTTGACGATATTGAGTTCTACCGCCAGCAGGCATTCGAGCTGGTCGAGTGGGCTGATCTCCTGGTTCTCGCCCCGATCGATGCCGACAACATTGCCAAGATGATGGTGGGAATCGCGGATACTTTCCTTCTTGAGGTGCTTCGCGGCTGGGACACAGCGAAAAAGGTGCTTCTCGTCCCTGGGATGAGCACGCACATGTGGGAGAACCCGGTAACGAAAAGGCAGTTAAACAAAATCAATAGCAAATGGCCTTGGGTGCGAGCTATGCCACCTATACTCTGGCACTACGACAGCGCCCACAAACACCCGAAGCGAATCGTCAATTGGAACGGCTTCAACGACGTGTTAGGCATCATCAAGAACCAAGCCGACTTGCTCGGCCTGGGTCGGGATGTGGACGTCGTCACCCATCTCGGTTACCTCGCTTCGGGTGATCCGCGAGTATACTCCAATTTGCCGCCGGAGATCTGGACTATTATTCTCGACTTTGCCGACGACTGGGAGTTGGCGCAGGCGTTAGGGATTTTCACCAACCTGCCCATGCCATATCCTTGGAAGCTACAACCCAGGAACCCCAACGATCCGGTGAAGGTCTACGAGCACGAATTGGAGTGGCTCGTACTTACTTGCGACTCCACCTCTATTTGCAAAAAGCTGCTTCAGTCGCCGCCTACCTTCCACGAACTCCCAGCACTCGTCATTAAGCTTCTTATCCGCTTCTCGCTGATTGAAGTGCTTACCTGGATGGAGGCCAACCGCCCTGATCTCTTCCAGGCTTTCGACGGCAAGGTCCTCGCGACCAAGGCTTCCGCATACTTTGGACGCTCCGACGTCCTTGATTATTGGAAGGAGAGCCGATATTTCCGTGGTCGCCACCAACAGTGCTACGATGCCGAAGCCCTTGATGGGGCGTCCAAAAACGGCCATATACAGAGCCTGGACTGGTGGTGGCGGCGCTCCGGCTTACCGCTCCGCTTTACCGAGGCTGCTCTCGAGCAGGCCAGTGGAAAAGGTCATCTTCTCGTGCTTGAATGGTGGCGTGATGCCGCTGCCCAGGACGAGAATATTGTGCTTAGACCTGGGAAGTCGCTGTTGTGGGCCGCCCAGCACGGCCAGGTTGACGTCATACGTTGGTGGGTGGCCTCTGGCATTCCTGTTGCCAATGGAGACGGCGTAGCAAAAATTGCTTCACGATGGGGTCAGGTCGGCGTTCTCGAACTTTGGAGGAAGCTAAAGGGCGACGACAAGCTCGCTTTCGACGGCGAGGTCCTCGTTCAACCTACAATCCATCAGCACATTGGGGTTCTGGAGTGGTGGCGCAAGTTCGCATATGGCGAGCTTGAAGGAATGGAAGGGCGGAAACACCGCGTCGAATACCGAACCTGCGATATCGAAGAGGCCTTGGAAGACAGTATCGGCGATCAAGAGCCGGTGCGGAAGTGGTGGGCCAGCAACGGGCTCAATCTGAGTATTCGTAATCTTGAGTGGATGAGGCCCAGGTATCTGTAGGACTATCATGACACATTTACGGGCGTAGGCAGCATTGCTTGGGTAGCACTACACATGGCGCCTTGACATTTCTAGCATCAACATGGGCTCGAAAAAGTTTGGCGTTTACCGGGATTTCCTAGGCGTATGGGAGCGATACATGATTAAGGGAATATTATTCAAATTATAGACTGATCCCTATGACGTTCAATCACGCTTGTGTTACTCTTTTACTCATTCGCCATTCGAATATGTACCATTTCTGATCATTTTCAGATAACCAGGGGCGCTGCAACGAGGAGGCCTGCGACCAAGACGGAGCCGTCGAGATTCTTTCCCAAAAACGCGGCACCTTGGGCCGATGTTGACGTCGGCGCTGCGCTAGTCGTTGTTGTCCTTGTTGTTGACGTCGAAGATCTCGACGATGACGATGATGTCGGCCCATCATCGCCGCCACCAAGTGTTTGCGTGGGCTGTGGGAAGTCTCTCAGAGACGTAGTCCCCGCTTCACCCCCAGGTATCGTCGCGAGTAGACTAGATGTCGCGCTTGTATCATCACCACCACCTCCGCCGCCGCCGCCGCCTCCACCGTTGGGGTTCCGACACTTCTTGTCCCCAACACAAGTGAGGCCTGCATTGCAGAAGTATGTTTCGCAGCAGACTTGACCGGCTGGCATACATCCGGTGCCGCAGGGTGTCTGGCCGGCCGCACACTGACTTCCTCCTCCTCCTCCTCCGCCGCCGCCGCTGCTACCCTTATTGCACTTCTTATTTCCAGCACACGTCTCTCCGGCGTCGCAGTAGTAGGTATTGCAGCAGACTTGACCAGCCGGCATACATCCCGTACCGCAAGGAGTTTCGCCCGCCGAACACTGACTTCCGCCGCCAGATCCGCCGCCCTTGTCGCACTTCTTGTTCCCCAGACACTTC